CCAGGGTTTCCCATATTGGTGATTATCAGCAATCAGCCTGGGTTCTCCTGCCCAGCCCGACACCCTGGGACAGCAAATCATTTTTAATGGGGAGCCAAAGAGGGAAACTGAGGGCTGGCTGGATTAACTATTTTGCCCAAGGTCACAGGGAGGTGGATTTATGGGTAGGGACAGAAATTAAACTGGGGCTCCATCACTTGAACGGCACTGTCAAACAGCAGCAGATGTGTCACACAGCTGGAATGCACCCCAAAATCCCACCAGCATCCCTGCACTCCTCTGGGGCCGGGATTGAGGGTTCCTCAGGAGTTCCAGGCAGCAGGGAGAGCTGGTTTAGAGCCCAGCCCATGAACACACACTCACCTCACCAAGGGCCATCCCACCCACTCCAGCTCCTGCAAAGCCTTTTTCAGACCTGAGCAATTTTTAACTCATGCTCTCCTCTGGGCTGAAACACCTGGATTTGGATTTGGCAGGTGCAGGGATGAGCTAAAACAGCATTTTAGCCCTAGCCTGACATATTCCAAAGATCTCAGCTGAAAGATGGCAGAAACCTGAAATCACCTCTGAGCATCAGCAGGATTTATCCTTAAACCCAGCTCAAAATCCTGCCTCACCTGCACTGGGCTGAGCACCGACATCCTCAGCCTCCCACAGCCTCCTAAAATTGGGAATTTGCCTTCTGATGGACACAGGGTGCTGAGGGCCACCCTGCCTGCTGCCAGTGGCCAAAGGGAAGATGATTTTTTCCCTCAAATCTTCCTCACATCACTGATTTCTTCCCTTATCACACATCTCAGCCCTGGAGCTGCTCCACGAGCCAGGTTCAGGGGGAAGAGGGCACAGCTCTGCCACGAGCTGGCTCTCTTGTTTGACCATCACCCATGCCAGGACTGATAATTCCCCTCTTTTTAAGGCACATTTTAGTAGAAATCAGCGAAGTTTGTGCAAATTATATTTGTTGTTGTTGTTATAGTCTGGGTATTCTCTTATTCCCACCCAATGCTACAGATTAACAAAATAATTCAGGCACCACCTATCAATTCCTGATAGTTTTGCACCCATAACATCTATTGCACCTAAAGGAAGTATCTGACTGCCCAAGTTTGTAAAAAAATACTCACAAATATTAGCTCTGCTAGCTGCTCCCTCACAGGAATTTTTACCTATTGACATTACCATTATTCTGTATGTTGGTTTGGTTCGGCTGGCTTGTTTTGTGGTTGTTTTTTTTTTTTAAGTGCAACAAATATATTTACCTTTTTAGGTATAATTTTATCCAAAAACCTAATAAAAAGGCAGTAAAGAAACAAAGTTAGCTATTAGATAACAGTTCTTGCTGCCAAAAGCCATAATCTGACACAGATTGAGCCTGGTACAGTAGTCAATTAATGGCTCAGTGCTCATACAATAATGACCTACTAACCTGACGGTGTGTTGCTCTCACATTTTGCTGTCCCCTGGGATGCCACTGTCACTGTGTTATCTATTGCCTGCTTCCCTATCAAAGAAAATAAGCAGAGCTGAAATGTATGTACGCATCAAGCTCTGTAGTTCATTGCACACCAACCCCAGCAACTGGAGGAACAATAGATTTATAAGTTTATCCTACATTAAACCAAACATGCCTGACTGCACTGTAAATTACTAAATAATAAACCAGGTGGTGTAAGATCCTGACTTGGACAGAATATAAAAATCTATCAACCTGTAAAATACAATAACCATAAACGTGCTATGTAGCTGATGGCTCAGGTAAACCATCCACCTCCAGCAGCAGAGGTTTTGCTGGAGTAAATTGCAACAAAAGGTTTACTAAATTTAGGTCTGGAGCACTTCTTCATTTTAGGCAACACCATCAATAGGAGAAATATAATTGAGCTAAAACCAGTGGCAAATGTGCTTGTTTTGTTTACATTTCTTTGTCTCTAATGGAGCTATTTCATGGTAATGTGCTGTGTTTCCCAGCATATTGCCACGGGCATTTAGTCTGATCTCTAAAGAGAAGATGAACTACTGCAGAAGGGCATCTTTCTTCAGGATTCAAACTTCACATTCAAATTAGCTTGAAGTAGTACAGGAGGTGCAAAATGCAGAATGCTGAAAGGTCAGGGCACTCGCATCCTTTGAATGGACTAAATCTCAATTTAAAAGAAACCCCCAGCAGTTGTGTTAGTGCAATAAAATATTTTGCATGCCTCCGTGCACACCATTAGTCCCACCCCAAATGATATCCCATTTTTTTAATAAGTCCCACCTTTGCTCCCAAAATTAATTGCCACGAACCACAGAAAACATTAGATCAAGGCATTCAAAAACCGACCCAATAAATCAGAACTCCAAAATCCACAATATTAATTAATTCCCTTTTCGGAGCTTTTCAAGAAGCCAAGCAGGTTAAATTTATATGATTTACAAACAGTGTTTACATTCATAGAGAGACAACTAATTGCTGCACGGCTTGACATCATTACAGGGAAATGCTGGGGGATGCAGACAGTTTAATTAGGGGTGGCTTTAAGTTCACAACACGACTGGTACCACAGTGCTTTACTATTGTGCTTATATAGGATGATCATACACACTACGGCTTTTATTCTTTCTGTACTCTTTGTCTTTACAACAGAAAATAAAGTATTTTTCCCCACACAGGCAAGCTGACACAGTGTATATTTCCCCCTCGATTTTATTCACTTGCTTTGCAGAGCATAAAGAAATGTTTCTTAACCTAACAAAGTGCATATTCAATTGCAGATGCGTGTGCCTTGCTGATCCGTGAGCAAACACACACAAATCCTGGGCTCAGCCTCTCCCAAATTCCCCCATTCAAGGCAAACTCCCACTGAAATTAATGGGGACTCAGCACCCCATCATCCCTTCCCTGGATTGAACCCTATGTGAACCCACACAATGACAGTGGGGTTTAAAGCTGTTCCCACACATTTTTTTGGAGGAAATATGGGAAGTGGCTTGCAGGAAGCACCTGAACTTCAACAAGGAATGGGCTCAGTGTGTATCTGCCAAGGGGCAGATAAAGGGGGCTCTTGCAACCTGTTCTCATCACAGGGTAGTTTTTCTCTTGGCAGGATAGTTTTTCTCTTCCCCCAAGCACCCTACTCATTTATTTTTAAGCAAAGCAGGCTGAAATGTTATTATCCTGTTTTTATGAGGCACCTCCATCACTTATTTCCACAGAGGCTCCTGCACTGCTGTCCTGGAATATGAGGGTCCATTTCTGCTCCTCCCACTGCCCAAACAGAGACCTCCAGAGTCTCTAATTTTCCTGTTTTAGTCCCAGAAGGGATGTTCCCATCCTAGTCTTAGTTCTAGTTCCTGTTCTAGTCTCAGCATCTGTTCATCCGTGTCTCCCTGTGCAGTGGAACCTTCTCACTCACCACAAATTCAAACCCCTTGGGAGACATTCCAAAGACCAGAATTATTTCAAAAAACAGTTTGTGATATGGAAAAAAAATAAACTACATCCAATTAAAACTGCACAAGTAGCTTAGATAAGAAGAATGTGAGTGTCAATACAGGGGTGCAGGAAACAGGAATCACCAGCTGTTGTTTCCTTGGTTTGGGAACCTCAGCTCCAACCATTGCTCCCAACCCATGGACCAACAGCATCTCTCCAGGCAGGAGCATCTCCTCATCTCATGCCACAGCTGATGGAGTGGCAGAGAAAAGAGGTGGCCTTTATCCACCACATCTACACTCAGGGGTTTGATTTCACAAACAAAATCACTGGAAAATTATAGAATGAGATTGAAAATTTTACATTCCCATTCAGCCCCAAGAATTTTAGCCGTGGACAGGTGGATAAAGATTAGCACTGAGCTCTGTTTGCCAGTCACAGTGTCCATGAAAAGTTTTCCTGCACTAGTTAGAAATTAAAGTAATTTTCTGGCGCTGAATTTTTGATACGTAACTTACAACAGGAAATGGTGAAGTTGTTACGGTCTATTTATCCGTATTTAATTATTTTTATGCACCCATCATTGTAGCATCTGGACCAAATGTAATAATGCATTAAATTAAACTGTCTAGAGTGGAAAACACAAACTGCTACCATCCCCGCAACCCCCAGCCAGCCCAACAACAGCAGTGGGGACAAAGACAAGATCTTTCCAAGAGCAGGAGTCCAGTGGCCAGAGACAGGACAAAGCCAGGTGTGAAATGCTGTATTTTGCATAAAAGAACCCCACAATGGCTTGGGTTGAGAGGGACCTTGAAATTACCCAGTGCCACCCCTGCCATGGCAGGGACACCTCCCACTGTCCCAGCTGCTCCAGCCCCAGTGTCCAGCCTGGCCTTGGGCACTGCCAGGGATCCAGGGGTGCCACAGCTGCTCTGGGCACCTGTGCCAGGGCTGCCCACCCTCCCAGCAAGGAATTCCTTCCCAAAATTCCATCTAAATCTATCCACTTTCAGTTTAAAGCCATTCCCTGTGTCCTGTCCCTCCATCCCTTGTCCCCAGTCCCTCTCCCCCTCTCCTGGAGCCCCTTCAGGCCCTGGCAGAGCTCTGAGCTCTCCCTGGAGCTGCTCCTCTCCAGGTGAGCCCCCCCAAGTGTGCCAGGCTGGCTCCAGAGGGGCTCCAGCCCTTTGAGCATCTCCGTGACCTCCTCTGGATTTGCTCCAGCATCTCCACATCCTTCCTGTGCTGAGGATCCCAGGATCCAGGGCTCCAGGTTGGGTGTCAATAGAGGGGCAGAATCAGGCACCAAATGAGGTGTCTGAGGCAGGAAGGAGCCTGCCAGGTCTTTCCTTTTGGAGCAGCTTCCTCCACATCTGCCTTTTCACTCAGTCTGAGAAGCTTCAGAGATGCTGAATGAACAACTGAAGAGATCCAGCTGAGACATTTAGAAAAGCAGGACTATAAATATTTTCCCCTCTCAGTAACCTGGAGTGCTGGACAACCTAACAATGGTTAAAAGAGGTAAATTTTTCTCCCCTTTGTACACAGCCCTATTGATTTCACATTCTACACTTTAAGAAAGTGCTGAGATCATTATATGTGTCTTTTAATAGATTATGACTCCGGAGACAAACATGTTGAGAGCTGTCATCACCAAGATGCCTGCTGTCATTGTGCCATCTTCTTAACCTAACGTAAGGAAATTCATATTTAGTGAACGAGGAAATTACTTTGGGTATGTATCATTCAAATCCTTAAGGATTATTGGCTAATTAGGAGCACAGTAATGTAAATTTGCCTTGTGTCAGGTTTTCAGGAACAGTAAAATAACATAATTAAGCAGTGAGCAAAGTAGATCATTTAAGCTGCTCTTCACTGACAAATGTATATGATGTCTAAATATACCATGGGCTTCTAAACTAGTAACTAATGAGAACTGACTGGAAAGTCTAAAACAATGGTTTCAAAGAGAAATCGAGTATGTTAATCCAGAGTAAATAGCTCTACTCACACTTGGTGGCATTTAGGGGAAGGAAGAAGTTGTTTTCAGCCTCTCTGGCTGCCTGCCTGTGTCCCTGGCTGGTGGCAGAGGTGCCCAGAGCAGCAGAGGCAGCCCAGACCCCTTCCTGTTCCATTTTCACAAGAATCCTGTGATTCCATGCAGCTGCAGCAAAGAAAAAAAAAAATCTCCTCATGGAAATTCAGCACAAACCCAAACAAGGTCTTTGCATATGCAATTGCATGCGTGGTTTGGGTTTTTATAACCTGATCCTTCTTTTTTCCTGCTTTGGTTCACCCTCGGTTTGCTGGGTGGTGACTTTGCGTGACACACGCGACCAGAGCCCCGTGTGATGTGGTACATGACCCTGGCTTTGCTTCTTGTTCCAGCAACCCTGGCTGAAATCAGTCCCCGTGAGGGTCTCTGTTACATCAGGACAGTGGCACGCCGTGGGGAAGGAAGTGACACGAGCTGGTGGCAGAGAGCAGCCACCTGCAGAGGATCCTCACCTCCCAAACTGCTCCCGGCGCTCCCACGAACCGCAGAAAATTATTCACACACGCTGCACGGCCAAATCCTCCTCAGCCCCTCCTTGGAAACATTCATATTTCGAAGTGCAGATGTTTCAGTTTAATATCTGGCCCTCAGTACTGCTGCAGATGGGTGGGTACCTCATGCAGGAGTGGGAACATTTTCAGCGCTCCACCAGAGGCACGTTCTGACCTCTGTTTCAGCTCCCCAAACCAGCACAGGCTGAGGATCTCCTCTGAAATCCTTCACACAATGACTCTTTTCTGCTCGCTATCCCCTGATTTATCTCTGATGCTCCTGGGTGTGACAGTGCCCCCAGCCAGGGCTGATGCCATCATCACCATCTTCCAGACTGGAGTCCTGGCACGTCCCTCCTGGCTCAGCATTTTGGGTGGCTGCCACCTGCCAGTCATCACCATGTGGTGAATAGCTCGTGGAAAAACCCCTCTTGGTGCTTCCCCTTGGGACAGCAGCTCGCAGGTGGGGCTTTGTAGGGAGAATTTTGGGGTTTCCTGGTTTTCCCACTCACAGCTCTGCCCGTTCACTCTTACCCTTTCCTTCCCTCTCACACCAACCTGGATATTCCTGCCTTCTGCAAAGGGCTGGGGTTGTGAGATGCAGCTGCAGCCATGGCATGAAGCAATCATGTTCCCTATTTATAGTGAAGTTTTTCATAGTTCCAGCACTGGGAATAGATTCATGATGCAGGAGGTTGTTGTGGTCAGAGCTGCAGCTTGGTGTGAGGCACAGAAAGGGTGGGAATGGGGTGGCAAAGACACCCCACACACCTTGCACTGAGTACCCATCCCTGGGGGTTTAAAATGCCCTGGATGTGGCACTTGGGGACTTGGACAGAGGCAGCCCTGGCAGTGCTGGGGGATGGTTGGGGTCGATGGTCTGAGAGGGCTTTTCCAACCTCAAGGAATTCTTGATTCCATTATTTTTTCCACTCAACCACCAGACTTAGAAACTTTAGAAGATGGGAAGCTGCTGTAGCAGACACCAAGAGAAGTGCTGGTGTTTTCCTCTGGCACACTTTGCTAACCAGAGTGTGCAAATTCCAGCCTGATGGGCACCAAACTCAAGCATCCACAAAAAATCTAAACCCTAAACACTGAACCTCTGCTAAGCTCAAAAAAATCCTGCAATTAAAAGTGTTCAAACTCACCCTGACTGCAAACACAAATAATTTAGTTTGGGTTCCATGCCAGAGTTTGCAATTACATTGAATAAGTCATTTACAACTGTCTGCTAATCAAAGAGATAATATGTAGAATAAGTGTTTCACAGCAATTAAATCTTTTTGTCTCCCATTAACTAAAAAAGGTTATTTTGCAGCCTCTTTGTGCTGAAATGTAACAGCACAAATACAGTGCTTTGTTATCAGTTTAAAAATTGAAACCTCTGTGCATCCTTTTTTTTTTTTTTTTTTTTTTCTTTTTGATTCCAGTTAAGTAAAATTGCCTTTCATGAGAAATGCTTGCAAATTATCAAAGACTTCCTTTTAAACAAGCTCAGAGAGTATGGAGCAAATACCTTCCTTCCAAAGTAATTGGAATTTCTATCTAAATTATTCTTGGACAAATTAAAAGTGCCAAATATAAGTCAATTTTTATTGGGAACAATTCTATTATAGTTTGCAATAAAGGAAAACTAAAAAACATGCTGCAGCATCTTTGGAAGAGTGGAAAGTATTTTAGGAAGATCGAGAGCTCTCAGCCTCCTATGATGCTTATTAAAAACTACTTTCAATGAGGTGATTAGGGAGAAAATTGTCAAGTAAGCAGAGAAAAAAATTACTTCTCAGCCTAATCAGTGTATCACAGAATTATTCCTTTCCTCCTTTAGAGATAACATCCAGCTGATGGGCTTGTCACCATGTATAAAGGCTATTTTGATTTTATACAGGCTAGCTGTTTTAAATATTCATTTTCATAAAAAGGAAAATAATTTCATAGCTAAAACCTCCCCCCTCCTTCCTGGCTCCTCATTCCAGACCAGAAAAGGGCAGTTGTCACCCAAAAATAAAGGTATTTTTAGCCCTCTGTGTCTAATCGTGGTGAGAGCCAGTAAAATAAATCAGCGAGGAGTAAAAGTAAAATTTGCAATAACCTGATACTACTGCCTCATCCTCCCACATCTCAGGACATAAAACTTACTGTCAGAAGAACTCACAGCACAAGAATTAATCAAGGAACTCTTAAAATACTCCAAGCACCTTCCTTCTGATGACTAATTTGCCTTTCCTATTGCAAACTACTAATTTTTTACCTCAATCGATATGTACAAATATACCTTCCCATCAATCACCGGGGGCAAGGCCAAACTTCCACTATTTATGTAAGACTGACTACAAGATGAAACAAAAATTGACTACAGCAAACCTGGGCCCCCGGAGGGACAGAGGGAGGGAAGGGGAAGGAGGATGGGAGAAGGTGGAATCAGCACCTTGGGAAGGAACCAGGGGCTCGTGGGAGAAAAAGTCTTCACCTGGCAAAATCACGGGGTGGAAAAGTCAGGGGGGTGGCAGAGCAATGGAGAGAGCCCCAAAGAATCTCTTAGAAATGCCCAGAAGTCCCAAAGGAAGAAGTTCAGAATTAGCAGGGAAAAGTCTGAGATGTAAGAAAAGTGCCCAGAATTGCTCTGTGGAGAGAGGAGAGGCCAGAAGAAATACAGAAATAAGTCATATTGAACGGGAGTGACCCCAGCAGAGCCCAGCAGGATTCAGGGGTGTATCAATCAGGGACATCTCCCCTCTCCAGTTGAACAAGGAGGATTGAGGAGGAAACCCACGGAAGCATTTGGAGATGGAGAGAGCCACGTGAAGCAGCACTCACAGGGAGTGGGCAGGTAAGGACAGGTCCCACCAAGGCAGACACATCCTGAACATCTGCAGACAGCTGCCAGGCACCTCCTGACTCCTTGGGGAAATCCATGGAGAGTTCACAGAGCTCTAGACCAGCCCAAAACCTCGGGTTGACTCTCAGATCTGCCCAGAGCTGCTTCAGAGATGAGCACTGCTCCAAACCTCAAATCTTGGATTGCAAACTGCACGGCAGAACTGCTGCATGCACACACACACACACACACACCCACACACACACACACACACACACACACACCCCGAGTTCTTCCTGAGGCTGTGACACTCCAAGGATGGAGAAACTCTACTCCAATGTGAGTTCTAAGGCTGATTCCTGCTGAAGAGCTGCAAAGGAGAAGAGTGGGAAGAGACAGAAATGGTCGCTGTGTCTCTGATCCCTTGACACGCTCTGCTAAGGAAGTGTTTTCACTGGAAAAAAATAGACAGTAAACAGGTGAAAGGATTTAAAGAGGTTTCTAAGAAAGATGGGGATGGACTTTTTGGTAGGGCCTGCATAGGACAAGGGAGACTGGTTTAAACTAATAGAGGGGAGGTTCAGACTAGGTATAAGAAAGATTTTATGATGAGAGTGGTGAAACACTGGCACAGGGTGCCCAGAGCAGCTGTGGCACACCTGGATCCCTGGCAGTGCCCAAGGCCAGGCTGGACATTGGGGCTTTGAGCATCCTGGGGCAGTGGGAGGTGTCCCTGCCATGGCAGGGGTGGCACTGGGTGGGCTTTAAGGTCCCTTTTAGCCCAAACCATTTAACAAATCCTTCCAGGGGCACCAGGGCTTGCGTTCTCCCCCTTTCCACCCAGGAAATTCCCTCAGCTTTGGCTGAGCTTTCCCTGGAGTTCTGCCACCTCTTCCTTACAAGAAATAGGATCACAGCAGCCTCGGAGCCCAATATCCCAGATCAAGTGAGCAGAGAAAGGAACCAGAGCAGAAAACAGCAGGACAAAGCCCTGGAAACACAGCATGTGAATTCCCAAGCACTGACTTGGAGCAGAAGGATGCTGAAGCTTGGCTCTGCTATTTTCCATGAGCAGAATCCATATTTTATTGATAAAAATTATTTAATCACCAATCTAAAGGCACTTTGGGTATAAACTCCTTCAGTGGCCTTTCCAAACCACACACACTGGGGCTGTTCAGACAATGCAGAGCAGTTTGTGGAAAGGATTGACAACAGCCCAAAATAAAAGGACACAGGTAGGAAGCATCTCCTGGAGAAAAGAGCTTTGGATGTGCTCAGTTGGGAAGACAAAGTTTGGCTGATGGACTTCAGCGGGACTGCACCTGTGAGAAAGTCACATTATTAAGGTTATAGATGTGCCTAATTACCTCGATGAAGTATGGACCTATTTGTTAATTTAAGTGAGCAAAGCAGTAAATCAAGTTAAATATGGTGGCACTGTGGTGCTGCTTCTGACAAAAGTGGATTTTGTGTAGAATGAAAAATTTCAGGTCAGAGTTGAGGGCTCTCCCCATTCAGGGGCACGTGCACACATCTTTCCCCCCTACAAAAAGCATAATACAAAAGGTATTTTAAAAATAATATTTAAAAACACCTTAAAAATACATTCAGTAATAAACATTAACCTCTGTGAGACAAACAAGATATATATATATATGCATATATTTACCCACAATTTAAAACTAGAAAATGCATTTCTCTAATCTTTGCAAAATAAATCAATTCAGTTCATTAAACCATGACTAAGTTTTAAATCAAAGAGAAGTTTTTAGATATTACTAAAACAAAACTATCAAAATAATAACATAAAACCCAAAATAATAACACAAAAGCCC